TTTTTTTTTGTGTGTGTGTGTGTGTGCATGTGTTTCTTTTTTTTTCTTTTTCTTTTTTCCTCTTCTTTTTTTTTCTTTTATGCATGTGTGTGGGAGTGAGTATATTTCAACAGTTCGTGGGTGTATCCACTGAGCTTCCAGGCTCTTTCGGGTTACGCCATCGACTCCATCTTGCCTGCCCATTGCTAATTGGACTCGTCCTCCACTGCTAACTACCTGGGCATATATGCAATTTGTCCTATTCTTTCTTTCTTTCTTTCTTTCTTTCTTTCTTTCTTTTTCTTTTTCTTTTTTTTCTTTTTTTTTTTTTAATGTTCGTGACGTGGCATATTGCAGGTGGATCACTACATACGGGTGGTGGCTATGGTGGATGCGTACACATTAATCGAACATTTCTGCGATCTCCTGTCCGCACATCTTCAAGAGATCAAGACCTTCAAGTGAGCAGATTCACTGCAAATCACTCATTGTAAAATTGTAAATTCATCAAAAAAAAAGAAATGATGAATAAGATAATAAAATATTATCTTAATAGTATTATGAATATGGAAGGATGCTTTATAAATTTTATTTATTAAAAAAAGTGATATAATTAATTTATTACATATCAAGAATGATTATCGTTGCTTCCATCCTGACCATAGGAATGCAAGGTGGAGGTGGTTACACGGTGCCACGCATTGTCACCGACTCACCGGGTGACGAGGCAATTATGTCGGGGGTAAGTAACTAAGGGTCAGTAAATCTGGGGTGAGGTCCCACTACCAAAGAGAGGATAGGATTGAAGACCTGAATCTGGACGTGTTTGTGGAAAGGTGCAGAATGTCGAGATTGAACTGCTTTTCTCCGTGTCTCTGCTTAAAACACGTCCAAATTCAGGATATTCCGATATTTATAATTTTATTAATTTATCCAATCCCCTTTCCCTTTGCTAGTAGTAGTGGGACCTTGCTCCTGGTGACCATGGTGGCCTGCATAACTAGATTACATTTTTCATGATTTTTGTATATATAAATGTTAAATAGCGGCAACATATTTGCCTCGTTACCTCATAACGACGGATCTGATATTTTTTAGCCGCGAGCTGGGGACATTCCGTCGGCGACAAAAACAAAAAAAAAAAAAAAAAAAAAAAAAAAAAAAAAAAAAAAAAAAAGGGAAGGTAACTAGGTATGCAGGCCACTATGGTAACCAGGGGGGTTACCTAGCCTAGTTACCTAGTTACCTGGTTACCTGGATACCAGAGGTAAAAAAAAAGGTAAGCTCACTGTCTTCATCCAAATAGAACGCCCGGTCATTATACTAGCTGTATGTGGGGCACCTGTCAGTCTAGATACAGAAATAAATCATTTATGAAGTTGTTTTTTCTCTAAAAATCCATACTTTGAACTACCGGGCGTTCTCTTTGATTGAAGACGGTAGTTTACCTGGTTACCACGGCAGCTTGATTGCCACGATCCCCTGGGGTTACCCTACCTACCGTAACTACCTGCGACATGGTAACTCTTGTATCCGGGTAACCCCACCACCGTGACAGTAACCAGGTAATCACCATGGTTAATACCTGATTGGCCATAGTTTAACCAAGTTACCGAGGTAACTAACTAAACTACCTTGGTAGCTTGCTTAACTATGGGCATCATGCTATAACAGGGTAATCAGGTAACCATAATATGCTGGTATCTGGTAACCTGCTCTGTGATATTTATCATGTTCTTTTTCGTTCTTTTCTTGTGTGCCATGGTTTGCGTCGACCTCTCTCTGCGATTTATGCTTTGGTCTGTCACACACTCTCTCTCTCGTAGGGAAAATAATATGGGACTCTGATATCTGGTCCCAAAATTGATCAAACATCAATCATGGGACCCTGATATCTGCATGTCATAAAGCGCTACATTGGCCTCCATCCCACCAGGGGAGGGTCCTTTTTTCAGCTTAGTGCTGCTGTCCCTGGCAAATTGGCTACTTTTTCACTGCCTATGGCCTCAGTATGCAGAGTAGGGGGGGGGGGAGAGCCGGGTGGGTTGTTCCAATCAAATCCATAGCCAATCTGCCATGCGCTCCACAATTTTATATATACATATATATATATATATATATATATATACAAATAGAACTGCCTACGGTAAACCGTAGGCAGAGAGGGAGAAGAAGACAACAAACGAGGGGCTGTGACAAACTGTTTCGTCGGAGTTTCACCGACTCATCAGGAGGCTGAACCCTCAACAGTCTGTAGAATCCCCTCACTGATTACACTGTAAGTGATAATCCACCTTAACCAAAATCAAAGTAGA